TTAACTATTTTTCCACCCACTCTGATATCATAGTGGTCTTTGAGTCCTTCCTCTACATGATCCAGGAACTGCAGGATGTCCAGCCCCTCCAGGCAGCTGTCCAGAAGACTGTACATGCACTCAAATGCAGCTTTACGCACATCCAACCCATCGTCAACAGTGTGCTTGAACGGACCCATCTCCACCTGCAGCACACGAACAGTAAAGCGTCTGCACAGAGCATGAACAGAAACGCCTGCTGCTTCTAAATCAGCGAACTCACTTCTCTGATCAGGTCCTTCCTGATCTGGGTCTCCTTGTAGAGGTGAGGCAGCACTCTTCCCAGGAGACCGCGGATCAGAGACGGTTTGTTATGAGCTGCTGAGTTAAACATTACCAAGGCGATACGTCGCACATTGATGTCCTCGTCCTGCAGGGTCTTCAGGAAGTCACCTGTCACACAGAGATGACATCACAGCTTTTTCTTTTTCAGAGCCTCATCTGGGTTTTTATATTTGAGTCAGCATTAGACTTACGTTTATATTTAAGATTAAATGAACATTTGTTTTGGTTTTTAAGTGGGATCATATGAGGTACTTATCTGTAGTCAGTGTATCACTTATCTGTCAACACATCCAAGCATCAACCTGTGGGGCTGAAAAATGCTACCAACAAAGAAGGGAAAACTGCAGTTCCTATGATGGCCACACAGGTTTGAGACAAATGAGAAGACTCCACTCAGGCAAGTCTGCTGGACCAGACAGGGTGAGTCCTCGTGTTCTCAAGGCCTGTGTATAAACTGTTCATGATGAGTTTGAGTTCGCAGACAGTCCTGGTGCTGTGGAAGACATCTGTCCCAGTGGCCCCCAGGATTACAGACCCCTGGAAAGTCTCATCCTTGACCTGCTATGAGCTACAGTCAGGCCACATCAGGATCCCCTTCATTTCGCTTACCAGCCCTGCGTCGCAGCAGAGGACTCCATTCATCTACCTGCTCAACTGTGCAGAATCCTCTGCAGCTCAACGTGACAAAAACCAAAGAATTGATTGTGGACTTTATGGGGATCAGGAAACCTGTTTCAATCCAGGAGGACAAAGTGGAGGACTATAAATACCTCAGAATAA